CCGATGTCATTCTAATCAGCAAACAATAGTATTGCTAGAATTTGTATCATAATGCTACAAAATTAGCATCGGGTTTCTTAGGGTCTCTTCTTCAGTGTATCTGTTCATTACATCTTGCATTATATAATCTGTTCCCATAAATAATTAAAAAAAAAACTCATGTGTGAATTTCTACATATATATCTATCCTCTCTGTATTATAGGGAAAACCAAGTCATAACAAGACAGCAAAACAAATTCCTAGAAAAACATGCAATGGATAAGACATATAAGACCACAATATAGGTGATCGTCCATAGTTACTATGTTTTCTCTTGTTATTTTCAATAGATGTGTCCACAACACCGGCTTAATATAGGTAAACATAGTATTACCTATTTTTATAAAAACACAACTTTGAAAGCATTGTAGGATTTGAGAGCTGTTAATAGTTAATACCAGTATGAATATCCTTTAAATCTTGTCATCTTCAGAGTAGTTGCCTCTATTTTTAGGGTTGATACTCACAAGCATACCAAATTCAAATAAAATCAGCCAAGGCCAACCCATGGTCTTATGATTCAGATTCAATTAAGATCAGTCATAGTAAGACAATGTAAGTAATACAGGATTTCAGTTTAAGTTAATAGGAAAGTAAGGATAGTTACTATGGTATAACCTGCTATTTTGGGGTCAGATGTCTGTGCCCTCAAATCTGACATGAGTGGACAGACCAGAACAAATTAAGTTCAAACTAACTATGGCGATAAGACTACTGTGTCTTTTATATCCTGATACACTATTAACAATGACCTCTGCCTTTTTTTATAGTGTTTCAGAGCTGTCTATACTAAAGACTATAGCTTACCATCTCTGCCTCATGTCTGCTACTCCACTTTTCTGCTATAATTTGTCTACCTTATTCCCTCATTCCACTGTCTGCCCCATTCATTGAGGCCTCTTTGCCACTGTTGCTGGAATCCTGGTATCCCTTCCTCTCATTCTCTGGAATGTCCTTCAGCACTCTCTGTAGGGTTGGATTGGTGGCCACACACTCCCACAGTTCCTCCTTGTCTTGGAAACATCTTATTTCTCCATTAATTTTGAGAGAGAGTTTTGACGGGTATATGAGCCTTGGCTGCATATTATTTTCTTTCAGGACTTGGAATATTTCTCCCCATTCCCTTCTTGACTTAAGAGTTTGTGTTGATAAGTCTGTTGTTATTTTGATAATTTTCCCATTGTAGATAATCTACTTCTTTTCTCTGGCTGCTTTTAATATTCTGTTCTTTTGGTGGATTTCTGGAATCTTGATTATTATATGTCTAGGTGTAGATATGTTTTGGTTGTAGGTAGCTGGTGTTCTGTATGCCTCTTTTATCTGGATATCATTTCTTTTAGCTATTCATGGGAAATTTTGCTTTAATATATCTGTCAATATTCTTTGTATTTCATCTTTGGTTGCTCCTGCTTCCTCATTCACATTCTTTATTCTTAAGTTACGTATCTTTTTGTCATCTTCTAGTCTTTGAATTGTTTCTTTCTTTTCTTTTTCTTTAATGATCATATGTCATAAATCTCTCTTCAAGTTTCAGAAGGCTGTCTTTAGTTTCTGTCAGGATATTTTGCCAGTTTTCAATGGAATTTTTAGTTTCCTGGTAATCTCTTTGGATCTGTTTCATGTATTCTAAGTTATGTTTAAATTCTTCTTCAGAAGTTTCTCTTTCTTTTCTGATTTCCTCAGTTCTTCCATCTGTGTTCTCTTGGGTGGGGCTTGTAATTTATTTAATTAATCTCTTTATATCTTGCCTCACTTGGATCAAGAGTACAGCTTTAAATTCACCTATGAGGTCATGGAGGTATTTTTTAATTTCAGCTGATGCTGTCTCCAGTATTGCATGGTTACTGTGCTTGTTCTCTTCAGTGTTTACTTCTCCAGGGCTTATTTTCTCATGCTGGGCAGCTGGAGATTTTTTTTTGTTGTTGTTGTTTTATTTTTATCTCTTGTCATGTTTCTAGATTCTTTCAGACTGGAGTGTCCTGGGGGTCTCTGGACCTCTATGTATTGCTTAGGGCCTTTCAGAAGTGTGCTGACTTGAGTGGTTGCTGTCCTCCCCAATTTGCTGTTATCTGGGGTAGGCTGGGATGCAGGGACAGTACAGGCTAGCCTCCAGCCAGTCAATCCATAAATTAGGCTGTACTTTCTGGATGTCACAGAGCTGTGACTATTTTGTATCTGTTTATTGGGCCCCAAGCAGAGGCTTGGTTCAGCCCCAGCAGATCCTGCCACTTCTCTCTGTGCCAGAAGCAGCTGTCTAATGTCACCGTGGCACAGGGTTCTGCACAAATCCCAGCTGTTCTCTTCCAGACCTCTCTGTGAGAGGAGCACCAGTACAGCGGGTCTGCCCAATTCCAAGATGTCTTCCACTAATTCTCTGTATGACGCTGAAGCCAACACGGCATCAGGCTCTGACCAATTTCAAGATGTCCTCCACCAGACCTATTTACAGGGGTGACTTGGTGATGTCACCGAGGCACAGGTTCTGCCCAACTCTAAGATGTCTTCCGCCAGACTCTCTGTGTTATTGATGTCCCTGTGGTGGCGGGCTCTGCCCAGTTCCAAGATGTTCTCTGGCCAACTCCAGCAACCGCGGGGTCCCCAGTACTCACCAGGGTTCGGTGCAGGTCCTCCTCTTGAGTCTACTGCACACCACACCGCTCGCCCTCACTGCGCTCCCGGCACAGCGTGGAATGGTCAGAAAACTGCACAGCATTCAGCTTTGGAGCTCCAGAGCCTTTCACAATCTCCTCTGGTGCAGCGGAGCAATCCTGGCTGCTTCTCAGGGTCCCAGGTCTCAATTTCCAGCAGACACCAAAAGCCAACACAGATTTTCCTGTTGGGTCCACAGGTCAGTTTGGTACATTAAAGGCGCGGGATTTGCAGCCTCCCATTATCAGCCTTCGCAGTCTCAGAACGACTTTAAATCCTCCAGCCGCACTGTCTTGGTTAATAAGAGTCGTTATCCATTCGTCTGGCCCTCTCCATGTTGTCATATTCTAGAATCTAATACGATTTCTCCGAAGAGACTCTCCACCCAATTCCCTAGAAAGCCGCCATTTAAGGATCCTTGGCACTAAGTATCAAAAGTGCAATGATTCTTAACTTATATAGAGGAGAATTCAGCTATTGAATGACATTTATGGAGGAAAAGAATTAGTTAAATTATTAAATATTTCAAAATTCAAGATAATTAAATGTTATGATATCATAAAAGCTTATAGTATATTAACCAGTGTTAGTTTTTTTTTACTTTTTTTTGAAATTGTGTATCATTTTTCTCCTTTTTTCTGTTTGCTTTTTAAAATTAAAAAAAGAAAAAAAGACCTGATAAAAAAAATTTATATTCCAAATAGCCAGAAAATAGATAAAATAGGCACTATGGAGAGAATACACCCAGATATAAAAATGGAAAAAAAAATAACAGAGAAATTACAACTTGAAAATGAGACTGAATGTAAACTAGAGAGTAGGATTTTTATATTGTCCTGTAGTGCTGGATTAGTTGCTGTTTATATGTATTTGAAACAAAAATTTTAAATTGTTATCTATCAACTCTTTTAAAACCACAGCCACATAAATACAGTGGTACTTCAGTGCACAAATGCTTTTGTTTATAAACAATCTGGGAAATTGCATTTTTGTTTGCAAACTGCATCTGGTGACTAACACAACCATGGCAGTTTGTCTCACTCAAATACAAATTGGTCATATTTTCCAAAACAGAAGAGTAAATTAAGTTTGCAAACTAAGGTAGTGCTGTATCAGAGTCTTTAATATGGTGGCTTTTGAACACATCTGTTACACACTGTAAAGTTAAAAGAAAACTGTATTTTTTGATAATATGATTTTAATTAATGGCATTAAGGGGAAAAATCTGTGAATAATTGTGCCTGACAGTTATGTATTGCTGAGTAAGTATCAAGACACCCAGGAAACCAGCAGACATGTCACCTATAAGCATTCACTGTTTTTCAGCCAAATGGGTTTTCTTGTTTCTCCTGGGATTACCTATGCTTTTGCAGGGAAGCATCTCTACCAAAAAGATTGCTGTTTCTCAGATTTGGAAAGCACCAGGCTGAAGACTGATCTAAGATGACTTGTCTGGGACAGCAGAGTATATTTCCATGTGATGGTTCTTAGCCTCTAGCCCACTGGGCCAGGTTTGTTTGCACAGAGTTTCTGGCATCCAGGAGGGAAAAACTGTACAAAATTTCATAAAGCAGGGCTTGAAACTGTGAAAAGTCCTTTAGGTATCATGTTGGCCAAAAACAAGTCACGAGGCCAGTTTAGAGTTAAGGAGAAAAGGCATGGATATTAGGAAGTTAATAATTGGGTTCATCAATTAAATCAGCAATGTATTAAGTGTTTCACAAAAGAAACACTATAAAAAATTCATGAAAATACCAACTAAACATAGAATTTTGGTTACTCTATACTGTGAAATTACAGAAATTAAGTGATGCTACTGTACTTTATAAACTCTGCCATAATTTAATTTTAATGACAACCATACATCTATAATTTAAGTAAAAGGGTTTCTTTCATTTTTAAAACAAAACTGCACACATGAATCTAATAAATAAAAAAGACCCATGGAAATGACACATAAACGGACAAGCAGTGGTATGAGGATAGCCTTTTTCACTGTGCTCCGTCACTCTTTCTCTGCCTGGGAAGCGTTCGAAACCTGTTTATGGAGGCTTCAGTGAAGTAAGGCCCCTTGGCTATGTCAGAGCTCAAAGTGGCACTGAGACAAATAAAGGTTTAGTAAAATTTATGAACAGTGCTAAAAACAGACTGAAAACTGAACACAGGCTCTTGAGTTTGTAGATATGGGTATATTTTCATTCTGATGTCTTTGCTATATCAACCAGGAAATGAGGCCCAATTCCATCCTAGAAAACAGAAAGAGAATTTGAGAGCTGGAATTCCCCAGTTAGGTTGCATCAGCAAACTTCTCCCTAACGGGAAAGGAGGCAGCTTTTGAGTGCTTTCAATTTCATTGCTTTTCTTGCCCAGAGACACTGTGGACAGCCATGGCTGGTGAGTAGCTTTACTTACTCTCTGCTTGTGGCTGGGTTTTGAAGCAGTTACATCTCTTGGCTCTCAGAGGAAGGAGGTAGAAGGGAGACCTACCAAACAGGACTGGTTTTGTCTGGGGACTGGGGACGAAAGGAGTTATATGCAAGTTTAGGGTACATCCTCAACTTTGTGAACAAAGTATTTTGGTTAACACTTTACAGCTTTTTAAAAGAAAGGTAAATGTGAAAAATCCAGACCTAAATTCCTTAAATTTTTCTGTGAAGCTTTTCTTGTGACTCTCATGACCTGAAATTCTCATCCATTCTTAGGATGAGAAACCATGCAACTGAACAAAGTAATTTAGATTTTTGCCTAATTTCTGCTCTCTGTATCAAATTTCATTATCAGTGGAAAGAAAACAAAGCTGTGGCTTATGTTCCTAATCTCTGAGAACAGGAGTGTCAGGCATAGGAATGGAAACTAAAGAAAATAGTATTTTATAGATGTATATGTTTATGTATTATGGTTATACATACCAATTATAATGTTTCCCTAAATTAGTTACAATATGAAAAACAAAAATAAAAGGATCATGGATCATAAAAAACTGAACCTATCAGTTACCAGTAAATTGGTTTGTTACTCATTTTCCTTCTCATTTGGTAAAACAGGAGAGGGTTCTTCCATGGATGCTGGAATATGCCTGTAAACCCATCGCTCAGGAAGCTGAGGCAGGGGATTGCCTTGAGTTTTAGGCCAGGATACATTACATAGTGAGTTCAAGGCAACAGCCTGAAGCATAAAGCAAGACTTAGCCTTAAAACAAAATACAAGAACAAGCTAAATGTTGTTACTTCAAGTGTGCTTCTTGGACTGGCATCTAATGGGAAGTCATTAAATTTAAAATTCAAGGGGCATATTCTTATCTTTCAAATCAGAATTTAGGGAAATGTAGAGAGACCTAGCTCAGCTTATGAAATTTCTAAATGATTCCTTTTAATTTTGCTTTTTAAAATTTTTAAACCAGATTTTATCGGTATATTTTAGATATACTAATAATCACATTCATCATAGAGAATTTGTGCCTGTACATAATAAAACTAAATGAACATTAAAATTGGAGAACAACTCATCTAGAATCACATGTCTAAGGTTGTGTTCCTATCTAATATCCATCATTCTCACAGCTAAAACATATGATGAAGAACACCTTGATAATGTAAAGTCTGTTGTCAAGAACCTGTTTGATGAAATTTTTGATGACTTCAGAAAACAAGTGTTAAACAAAAAGGAAATCAACAAAATAAAGAAAGATGTGAACCGCATCGTGAACAATGCTGGAAACCTGGTTGGGGAGATTGTTGATAAAACCCAGAAGACAGGCAAATTGTTTGCAAACCACTTCTCCCATTCCAAGACACAGCTAAGCTTAAGTGAGTAGCTTAAGTCAGAGGCCTAGTAACTCATTCTTTCTCTGCTGTTCTCACCCACTTTCTGCTCTTATTCTGTCACTTACAAGCATAGAATAAACTGCTGTCATCACTAGGAATTTTTGCATTATTATTTATTCTACTTAATAGCACAATCTACTCTGATGAACTCAAATTACTTTTATACTGTTGCACATTTTTAAAAATTTTAACATTCATAACCCTTAGTTATACTACAAAATTTATTTATTCAATATACAATTACCTTACACTTGTAAATATAAGGTCCAAAACAGGGGGATCTTGAAAAAATTCTAAACACATTATGAATGGCATCTGACCCTGACAGGTACTCAGAAGATACTTGGTAAGTGAATGAATGGCTGTTTAGAGTTTAGAGATAGCTAAGATTTTCCAGGTATAAAAAGGAGACTTCATAGTTATTCAGAGATAAATGGGATCTTCAATGGAGAAAAATCCACCACCTTTGTCTGTGGCATACACCCTGGGTAAATTTTGGAAATCTAGATTTCTATTAGGTAGAAGGCACAGAATTTAACAGTTACTATATGCTTCTCAATAGAATGTAGCATGGCATACTTTTTCGGAAAAAAATACTAGTTTTTAAGCTTTGTGAACAACATGCTCTCCTTCATGACCCAGGTCTGCCACTGTGGCAAGAGACTATGGAAAAAATGTGCCATAGTGAGGATATAGTTCAGTAAAGCTTTATTATTAACTGTGATTTCCAGGTTATAGTGCACTGACCCCAGTCTAGAGTATAACAAAAAAAATACATATATTATAAATTTTCAGAACATTCCTCCAGAAGAATTCTTGTCGCTTTTCAAAAGATTATCAAACAGATTCATACATCTTTTTTAGGAAACAGTGAATTCAATCACCAGCAAACCTTAACTAAAGACTTTTAATTTTTTTTTTCTGTAATCTGAGCAGGAAAGTGATGACTTCCTCTTTTTTCATGGAAATTAACTCCCTTTCACTGGGCACAGAGATCAGCAGCATGTAAAATTTAGGGAAGTTGGAAAATTGACACAATCTTCATGTTTCATAGATGAGTCCTATGCTAGGCATGCTCGTGTAGTGATCAGAGCAGGAAGTATATGGATTCTACAAACCAAGTTCTGCTGAAAAATCTATCATATTCATATTACATCAGAATTTCATTCTGAAATTGATGAATCTGAAAAAAATTCTACATCCTCTTCTTCTTGGATGGGTAATTGCCTCCAAATCCAAGGTCACAAGTGAAATTTTTCAAACCTTATTTCTCAAGAAATAGCCTCTCAGTAAAAATCTAAGAAACCTTTGCTTTTGATGAATTTTCATAATTGGAAGTGACTTTCAGTATACTGCATAGCACTGATACTATTTTGTTCATTTCTATCTCAGCATCTGAAGATGAAAGTAAAGAAAGCAGAATTGAAGAAATTACTGCATCAGCAGAGGCATTGGCTGTCTCTCCAGCAGGTAATCACCAGGAAACTCTATGCTTCAAGGGACTCTTGGGCATTGGTTAGTTAGGCTGAGGAAGGTAGGTGTACAGGAACACTTCATGATGGGGAAAAGAGCACTGAATCAAGGTGCAGACAACCTAGATTTTTCTTGATTCTCTATTGAAGAATGTCCCTTGAAATCATGACTACCACTTACTTTTCCGCTCTTCAATTCTCAGGATGCAGAGAGAAAAAAAATGACGGTAAAGACATGGAGGAATATGCTGGTGTGGCAGCCGCGGAATCAGTTTTAAAGCTGAACAGTAATGACTGTCCCAGGACACAGAGCAACATTATTTGAGCTATGCATATTTTAAAAAGCCTTTATGCAGTCATGCAAACTCCACCAAGAACTTGAGTAACAGTAAAGAAAGCTATCTACACCAAGCCATTAGCCACAAGCTCTGGTTTTATCTACCAGAACATTAGATATAGTGTAGATTAGTTACAATAGACTCAGATTTTAATGAGATTAATAATCTGTTTTTAAAAATGAGGATACGAGAAACAAGCAACTGCAACAAATAGAATAAGGTATTATTATCAAAGACATTTACAACCTCACAGTGAGCAACACATACAGTAATCACATCAACTACTTAATAATTGGGCTATAATAAAGAATTCTAGCATCAAGAACAGGTCATGTTTATTATTATTTCCCAAATACCATTATTTCAGAAGAACTGAACAAATTTACAAAGTAATGACACATGGAACTTTTTCTGGCTGTATGTATTCTGTACACAGTAGTTGAAATGCCAAATTGCTAGTCTCAGCACTAGATTTACCTGGGGTACCAAATTTCAAGATCTTGCTAATGTTGTTACTAATTGGTAAGGTAGATACAAATATGTAAATATAAATAGCTTATTTTCAGAGTACATAAAAGAGAAAAAAGGATAAGGTAGGTCAGAGGGTGAGAGAGCGTGTTTGAGGGCAGAATGTGAGGGAGCCCAGGGGAAGGAGAGTGGGGCAAGTGAATACTTATCAGTCTATACCTGAGTGATGAGGAGGAGGCTGTACCAAAGTCTATATGAAAAGGAATGAAGGGTCCTGAGAGAGGAATGGACTCATTTGTGAGAGGTTAAAATAAAGGACAATCTAGGTGTAAAATAGGAACTTAGGAAATTTAACTGGTGGAGCTGTGAAATACACATGAGACATTCTACATAGGCTGCTGTAAGTGGAAAGAAATTCAGCTGTTATTTTCAATAGAAAATCTTAGAAAGTTCTGTTTTAACCTAGATTTAAGCATTACACCATGTACACATGTGTGAAAATGTTACATATTATCCAATAAACATGCCTAACTTTTATGTTTCCATGGATTAAAATAAATTTTAAGAGGTAACAGGATTTAAGCTGAGGTCATGGAAAGCATCTAAGTTACTAGGAGTTTGAGTAGAGAATCAGAGAGGAAAGAGTCAATTCTTGTTCGGTTTGCCCACTGACCCTTACAATCTACAGGTTAGACAAAACTTGTGTGCGGAAAAGACAGATTTTTAGAGGAGGCAAATATCAAGTGTCTTACTTTGTACATTGTAGTTGAAACATGTGCTATCTCCAAGAGAATGAATAGGCAGGTGGATGCTCACCTACAGAGTTCAGAGAAGAATCAGAAAGAGAAATGAATGTTTGAATTATTGATATACAGAATGTATTTTAAATTATAAGATTATAAGTTGTCAATTCAAGGAGAAGTATTGATAGATAATTTTTGAAAGCTCAAAATATGCCAAACAAATTTTGGAGTTATAGTAAGGAGAAAACTGAACAGATTTAGGAAGAATGTCTTTAAAAATATTACAGAAGCCTAAAGAACACTTTAAGAGGGAGGGGATGTTTTCCCATGTAAAATGTTTTATAAGCAACAAACGATGAGTGGTAAGACATATTTCACTTAAGGAGGAGGATAGCAACCAGATTGTGCTGCACAAAAAGGTAAAAAAAAAAAGTTGTGATGATAGGCAATGTTGTTATGGAATTGTGCTGAGAAACGAGGCAGAGAATTGTGTAAATGAATGCAGAAGAAAGAATATCAGGAGAAATATTCTTAATAAAAAGATTGATACCACGCTGTACTAATATGTCCATTGGGATAACAGTAGAGAGTATGCAAATTTGATGATATAGAAAACAAATTGAATAAATATTGAAGTAGAATCCTTATGGATGAAGAGTTACAGAACTCTGGGCATAAGGAGAGCAGTTGACCTTTGATAGAAGGAAGGACAAATCTTTGCAGTAAAATAAGTGAGTAGATGTGTATATAAGTTGATTGATTTATGATTACCAAGATATAATACTTAAGACACAGAGGGCTTGGTCACATAAAGAAAAACAAATAATAAACCAGAAACATTTTCAAGTATCTGAAGATATCTATTCCTTAATGAAGAGTTTGAAACTTTTAATGTCCCCAAACAATCATTATAGATACTGGGAACACAGAAAGTAAAGACATCTTCCTATCTTAATTACTGTATGGTACACTGATCACTGATCACAATGAAAATTACTGTTTATATGAGACATTCACATTTAAGAATAGAAACATAGAAAAAAGATATACTGAAGTCATGAAAGTTCTATTGAGCAGTCATTGGGAAAGGGATTATATATTTTCTGAATGGTCAAACTGTGGTTAATGTATACCAAGGTCCAGAGTGTATACATTTAATGTTATACAGACTTGTCAAGAATAGTATAGAATAGTGTACCCTACCTATTGGGAACATTGTAAATGGAGGTAAGAGTGTTAATAAGAAAATAGAGATATTGTAAATGCAGTTCAAATATTTGAATAGTAATTTGAATGAGCTAAATGAACACTAAACTTCTTCACAAATTTTAGATACAGCATGCACTCAAAATTGTTGAACTTGAAAAATTAGTCATTGCTATGGCTACCAGTTAAATATGAACATTTATAGGGTCAGTAATAAAATGAAAAAAAAGAAGGAAAGGAAGCTATTGAGATCATTGCTTTAATTAAACAAGAAACATTTACTTTGTTTTGTTGTCCTTTTAAGTGGAATTGTAGTAAAAATTCCTGACCAATTTTAATAGATGTGCCTTATATCAAGTCATTGTATGTTATTACTTGATGAATTGTTTTCTTTGTTTCCTGTTTCTCCTTTTAGATCCTCAGGAAATCCATGGTGCCCAATTTGGGGATACACTGAAGCCTTGCCCATGTGATCATTTCCATAAGCTGAAGACAGAGAAGGTAAATGAGGCGATACGCTTTGACTAAGGATGCAGAACACTGTGAATTCAAGAAAGGAACTGGGGAGACAATCAGTGTTTAAATTCTGTAGAAAATGTCTTTAAATAAAGACAAAAGGCATTAGTTACACCTAGTAAAGTAGTCTTCATATTAGATTCCCCATTTCTTTCATCTCATTCTGGAATCCAGTTCTCTACCACTCAACCCAAATCAAGTTCTTTTAAGGAAAAATACTCAGACCTAGCATGTGTTCTCACTTTGTATTTCTTCTAGGCAGGTATATTTAACTGTCAAGTTTTCTGTCACCAACTTAGTTGATGGTCTAGATAAGACACTAGATCTGGGCCTTGATATCTGATATTTACTAAGTAAACTTGTGTATTTTAATAATGTCAAATCCAGGTGCCTTCCTAGAAAGATACATAAAATAGTTGTGATTCTGGTTCTGTCACCAATACCCTGAGAGGATTTAGATAAATCACTTTTCAGGTATTCTATGATGAAAAAAAATAGTGCTTTCACTTTTTGTCAATTGAAAGTCTCTGTCTGTCTTTCCAATATTTAATGAAAGTCTACAGAAATCCCTGTAGTTAACTCTCAGCTACTCCAAGATGAAAACATGCGGTACTCTCAATTGTTGTCAGTGGAAAAGTCTCTGTCTGTCTGTGTATCCTATTTTTAATGAAAATGAACAGGAGTCCCATTGGAATACAGATGAAAACAAATTGATCATATGCGGTACTAGTCATCTCTCTTGGCCTTAATTATATTCTATCTTATATTCTATCTCCCAGTTTATTCAGAAAAACAAACATTGGACTAGATGCTAATACAAAAATCCTACCAACTTTATATACTTTACACTTCAATTGTCTGGATTTATGCCAGAGTACTGTTGTCTTTATGATTTCAATCAGTCAAAATCACTTGAATCTTTGGTTCTTTTTCATTTTTGTGAACCTCTGTGTCCTATGTGCATATAAACTATACATGAGAAGTTTTACATGGTGGCTCTGAATCTCCTCAGGAAATGGAAACAGAGCTAAGGCAGTTTGCTGACCACCAAGACCACCGAACATCAGACAGCACATTCTTGGTGTTTATGCCACATGGCATCCCGGAACGAATTTGTGGGACAAAGCCCATTGATAAAGACCCAGCTATTCTTCATGATGACACAATCTTTACAATTTTAAACAACAATGATTTCAAGAATCTGAGAGACCAACCCAAGATCATCATCACACAGGCCTGCAGAGGCAGTGAGTTTCAATTAGGACCCCAGGAAATGGTGGCCCTATAGTACTCTAAGTCTGGTTTCTACGTTTCATTTTCCCAGGGGTGGTTGAAGAATACAATAAATCAATATACCGTTTATATACAGATCAGAAAAGTTATGAAGGGATCAGTAGCCTAAAGTAATGAGAAGTATCCCAATCATTTGGGACTGGGATTATTCCAAATCAGTGAGGTAATTTTTCTAGTAGTAAGATTCATGTATTTTAATAAATACTGTGAAGAAACATACTAAATTAAGGTACAATTATAAAAGAATTACATGATGTGTTTGTAAATGTAATATAATATCACATATTGCACTAGATGTGATGTCTTCTTCCCAGAGTCAGGGCATTATCTGAGTGACCACAACAGAGGAGAAGACATGGCAGATACACACGCTCATTCTTTGCAATACTACCAACATTACGGACTGAATTATGCAGTCACAATGTGCCATGTTGAAAAAGATTTCAATTTGAGAACCAATGATGTAGAAGCAAATGTCTATTGTCATATTTCAATCTAATGTTCATTCTCCCAGATAACAATGTATTAGAAGAAGAATCACTCAATAAAATAAAGTCTGTTGTCAAGAACCTGTTTGATGAAATATTTGATGACTTCGGAAAAAGTGTGTTAAACAACGAGGAAATCCGCAAAATAAAGAAAGATATGAAACTCATCGTGAACAATGCTGGAAACCTGGTTGGGGAGATCATTGATAAAACCCAGAAGACAGGCAAATTGTTTGCAAACCACTTCTCCCATTCCAAGACACAGATAAGCTTAAGTGAGTAGCTTAAGTCAGAGGCCTCGTAACTCATTCTTTCTCTCCTGTTCTCACCCACTTTCTGCTCTTATTCTGTCACTTACAAGCATAGAATAAACTGCTGTTATCACTAGGGATTTTTGCATTATTATTTATTCTATTTAACAGCACAATCTACTCTGATGAACCCAAATTACTTTTATACTGTTGCACATTTTTAAAAATTTTAACGTGCATAACCCTCAATTATACTACAAAATTTGTTTATTCAATATACAATTACCTTACACTTCTAAATATAAGCTCCAAAATAGGGGGATCTTTTACGTGAAAAATTCTAAACACATCACGAATGGCATCTGACCCTCACAGGAATGCAGAAAATACTTGGTAAATGAATGAATGGCTATTTAGAGTTCAGAGATAGCTAAGGTTTTCCAGGTATAAAAAGGAGACTTCATACTTATTCAGAGATAAATGGGATCTTCAGTGGAGAAAAATTCACCACCTTTGTCTGTGGCATACACCCAGGAAGAAGCTTCCGGAAATCTAGATTTCTATTATGTAGAAGGCACAGAATTTAACAGTTACTGTATGTTTCTCAATAGAATGTAGGATGACATACTTTATTCTGAGAAAAATAGTAACTTTTAAGCTTTGTGCATAATATGTTCTCCTTCATGACCCAGGTCTGCCACTGTAGCTCAAGACCATGGAAAAAATGTGCCATTAGTGAGGATATAGCTCAGTAAAGCTTTATTATTAACTTTGGCTTCCAGGTTACAGTGCAAAGACCCCAGTCTAGAGTATAACAAAGAAATGAATACATTCTAAATTTTTAGAACATTCTCCCAATAGCTTGTCGCTGTTCAAAGATTATGTAACTCCTTTACAGATTCATACATCTCTCGTAGGAAATAGTAAATTCTATCACCAGCCAATGTTGACTAAAGACTTATTATTTTTTCTGTTATATAAACAGAAATTTATTGACTGCAGCCTTTTTTTATAGAAACGACTTCATTTTTCACTGGCCACAGAGGTCAGCAACAACTGAAAAGTAGGGAAGTTGGAAAATCGACACAATCTTTGTGTTTCATAGATGAGTCCTGTGCTAGGCATGCTCATGTAGTTATCCGAGCAGTAAGTGTATAGGTTCTGCAAACGTAGTTCTGCTGAAAAATCTATCATATGATTCATATTCCTTCAGAATTTCATCTGAAAATGATGATGCATCTGAATAAATTTTTACATCCTCCTCCTCTTTGATGGATAATTGCCTCCAAATCCCAGATCACAAGTGAAATTTTTCAAACCTTAATCCTCAAGAAAAATCCTCTCAGTAAAAAACAACAACAACAATAAAAAACCTTTGCTTTTGATGAATTTTCATAATTGGAAGTGACTTTCAGTGTGCTGTGTAGCACTGACTATGTTGTTCATTTCTATCTCAGCATCTGAAGAGGAAAGCAAAGAAAGCAGACTTGAAGAAATTTCTGCATCAGCAGAGGCATTGGCTGCCTTTCCAGCAGGTAATCACCAGGAAACTCTATGCTTCAAGGGACTCTTGGGCATTGCTTAGTCTGAGGAAGATGTACAGTGCTCTTCATGATGGTGAAAAGACCATTTGATTTGAGGTGCAGACAACCTAGGTTTCTCTCGATTCTCTATCAAAGAACGTCCCTTAAATTTATGACTACCACTTACTTCTCTGCTCTTCAATTCTCAGAATACAGAAGGAAAAATACTGAGGGTAAAGAAATGGAGAAAAGTGTTCGTGTGATAGCCGCGCGATCAGTTTTAAAGCTAGTGACTCTCCCAGGACACATAGCAACATATTTGAGCTATACAGATTTTAAAAACCTTTATGCAGTCATGCAAACTCCACCAAGAACTTGAGTAGCAATCAAGAAAGCTATGTACACCAAACCATTAGCCACAGCTCTGGTTTTATCTACCAGAACATTCGATATAGTGTAGATTAGTTACAATAGACTCAGATTTTAATGAGATTAATAATCTGTTTTTAAAAATGAGGATACGAGAAACAGTCAACTGCAACAAATAGAATAAGGTATAATTTTCACAGACATTTACAACGTCATAGTGAGCAACACATACAGTAATCACATCAACTGCTTAATCATTGGGCTATAATAAAGAATTCTAGCATCAAGAACAGGTCATGTTATTATTATTTCCCGAATACCATTATTTCAGAAGAACTGAACAAATTTACAAAGTAAGGAAGCATGGAATTTTTTCTGGCTGTACGTATTCAGTACACAGTACTTGAAAAGCCAAATTGCTAGTCTCAGCACTAGGTTTTCCCCTGCGGTATCACAATTTAGGATCTTACTAATGTTGTTACTAATTTTTAAGGTAGATACAAATATGTAAATAACAATAGCTTATTTTCAGAGTATAAACAAGAGAGAAAAGGATAAGATAGGTCAGAGGGTGAGAGAGTGTGTTTGAGGGCAGAGTGTGAGGAAGGCCAGGGGAAGGAGAGTGGGGCAAGTGAACAGTTGTCAATCCATACCTGAGTGATGAGGCTGTGCAAAGGGATGGGGAAGGGTCCTGAGAGAGAAATGGGCTCATCTGTGACAGATTAAAATAAAGGTCAATCTAGGTGTAAAACAGGAACGTAGGGGACATTTAACTGGTGGAGCTGTGAAATACACATGAGATATTCTACATAGGCTGCTTTAAGTGGAAATAAATTTGGCTGTTATTTTCAACAGAAAATCTTAGAAGGTTCTGTTTTATCTAGATTTAAGCATTACACAATGTACACCTATGTCAAACATCACATGTTATCCAATAAACATGCATAACTTTTGTTCCCTTGGGTTAAAATAAATTTTAAAAGATAACAGTATTTAGGCTGAGGTCATGGTAAGCATTTAAGTTACTAGTAGTTTGAATAGAGAATCAGAGAGGAAATAACCAATTCTTGTTGGGTTTTCCCACTGATTCTTACAATCTACAGTTAGGCAAAACTTGTGTGTGGAAAAGACAGATTTTTAGAGGAGACAAATATCAAGTATCTTCCTTTGTACCTGTGTAGTTAAACATGTGCTATCTCCAAGAGAATGAAATGGCAGGTGGATGTTCACCTGTAGAGTTCTAGGAGAAATTACAAAGAGGAATAAATGTTGGAATTAGAGGTTAGCAGAGATATTTTTAATTATAAGCATGGAAGATACCAATTCAGGGGGAAAAACTGGTAGATAATATTTGAAAACCCAAAGTATGCCAAACAAATTTTGGAGTTATAGTAAGAAGAAAACAAAACAGATTTAGGAAGAATGTTTGGAAAACACATGTTACAGAAGCCTAAAGAACACTTTAAGAAAGAGGATATGTTTTCCTGTGTAAAATGGTTTATAAGCAACAATGGTGAGTGTGTTAGCTTTCATAAGAAGTATTTCATGTAATCGAGGAGGATAACAACCAGATTGTATTTTACAAAAGGGTAAAAATAATTTTAAAAATTGAGAAAATAGGCAATGTTGTTATGGCATTTTCCTGGTGTAAAGCAAAGAACTGTGAAAATGGATCTACAAGCACCATGACCAAGAGAAGGATTATTAATAAGATGATTGATACTAAATCATACTGATATGCCAATCAGGATAACACAATAGTGACAGTGCAAATCTGATGATATAGAAGAGGAACTGAATGCCAGGTGTCCTTCTATAATCCCAGTACTTGTGAGGCTGAAGCCAGAGAATCACTGCATGTTCAAGACAAGCCTGGGCTACAAACTGAGCCCAAGGACAGCCTGAGCTTCACATTATGAACCTATCTCAAAAAGACAAACAAAAAATAGGACCTGAATAAATATTTAAATAGAATCCTTACGGATTAGGGAGAGTAGAATTTGAACATAAGACAGCAGTTGACCTTTGATAGAGGGAAAGACAAATCTTTACAGAAAAATTTAAAATAAGTGGGTAGATTTGCAGGTAAATTGATACATTTATGATTACTAAGACATAATATCTTGTATCATATCTTTGTATGCAAAAATATTAAAAGAAGCAGAGGGCGTGGTACTCTATAGAAAAACAAATAAAAACAAAGACATTTTCTAGTATCTGAAGACACCTATTAACTAATGAAGAGTTAATTACAAACTTTCAATCTCTCCCAAAAAATCATTATAGATACTTGGAAAACAGAAAGGAAAGACATCTTTCTCTTTTAATTACTTTGTAGTACACTGATCACAACTGAAATACAATGAAAATTACTGTTTCCATGGGACATTCACATTTAAGAATAGAAACAGAAAAAAGACAGTGAGTCATGAAGGTGCTATTGATCAGGCATTGGAAAAGTGTTATATATTTTCTGAATGGTCCCACGGTGGTTAGTGTATAAATGTGTACATTTATGGCAAACAGAATTGTCAAGAATGGCATACAATAGTGCAGGTACCTGTCAGGGAACATTGTAAACGGAAGTCAGAGTGTTAATAAGAAAACAGAGTTCAAATGTTTGAATAGTGATTTGAATAAGCTAAGTGAACATTAGCCTTCTTTACAAATTTTAGATTCAGCATGCACCCAAATGTGTTGAATTTGAAAGGTTAGTCATTGCTGTAGCCATTAGATAAACATGAACATTTATCAGGGTTAATAATAAAATGGAAAAAAAAATTGAAGAAAGTTCTTGAGACCATTGTTTTAGTTAAACAAGTAACGATTTTCTTATTTTCTTGTCCTTTTAAGTGGAATTATAGTAAACAATCCTGATCAATTTTAATAGATGCGCCTTATATTAAGTCATTGTATGTTATTACTTGATGAATTGTTATCTTTGTTTCCTGTTTCTCCTTTAGATCCTCAGGAAATCCATGGTGCCCAATTTGGGGATATACTGAAGTGTTGCCCTTTTGATCGCTTCCATAAGCTGAAGACAGAAAAGGCAAATGAGGTGATATGCTTTGAACAGGGAGGCAGAACACTGTGCATTTAAGAAAGATACTGGGGAGACAATCAGTGTTTTAATTCTTTAGAAAATGTCTTTAAATCAAGACAAAAGGCATTAGTTACATTTAGTAAAGTGGTCTTCACATTAGATTCCCCGTTTCTTTCATCTCATTCTGGGACCCAGTTCTCTATCACCTAACCCAAACCAAGTTCTTACGAGGAATAATACTCAGAACTAGCATGTGTTCTCACTTTGTATTTCTTCTGGGAGTTAACTGTCAAGTTTTCTGTCGCCAACTTTATAATTATAATGGCTTGTTTTGCTTGGTCTTTGCTGGCAGGACTTTGGTGGGTGAACTCAGTCTCAATCTTCCAATTACAGATATATCCAATCATGGAGAAAGAAGGACGAACACGACTGGCCCTCATCATCTGCAACAAAAAATTCGACTCTCTTTCCAGTCGGCCTGGTGCTGAGGTGGACCTGTTGAGGATGCAAGACTTGCTTAAAGAGCTTGGGTACTCAGTGGTTGTAAAACAGAATCTAACCGCTCAGGTAACAGTTGTAGAAAATTGATTAACCTTCTTTCATTATTCAAAAAATCTCAAACTTTTCCTGGACAGCAGCAGGAACAAAAAATATCACAGTACAGAAATTATATTTGCTTTAGAATAGAATTTGTTCGTCCTCAGTCTGCTCCAGTGTACAGTTTCATAGCAGATATTTAGAGAATTTCTGTAGAGCAATATTTCCACAAAAATGGGGTTTACAGAAATCTCAATATGGGAAGTATCTATTAGTTGATTGTCTAGGTAAGACACTATGTCTGGGCCTTGATAGCTGACATTCACTAAGTGAACCTGTACATTATAATAATGTCAAATCCAGGTGCCTTCCTGGAAAGATATGTAAAATAGCTGTGATTCTGGTTCTGTCACCAGACACTGAGGGGATTTAGATAAATCATTTTTCAGCTATTCTGTGATGAAAAAAAATTGGTGCTTTTATGTCTATAAAGTCTCTGTCTTTCAAATATTTAATGAAAGTCTACAGAAATCCCTGTAGTTAACTCTCAGCTACTCCAAGATGGAAACATGTGGTACTCTCAATTGTTGTCGTTGGAAAAGTCTCTGTCTGTTGGTGTATCCTATTTTTAATGAAAACCAACAGGAGTCCCATTGGAATACAGATGAAAACAAATTGATCATATGGGGTACTAGTCATCTCTCTTGGCCTTAATTATATTCTATCTCCCAGTTTGTTCAGAAAAACAAACGAGGACTAGATGCTATAAAAAATCCTACCAACTTTATATTCTTTACCCCCAAATTGTCTGGATTTATGCCAGAGTACTGTTGTCCTTATGATTTCAATCAGTCAAAATCACTTGAATCTTTGGTCCTTTTTCATTTTTGTGAACCTCTGTGTCCTCTGTGCATATAAACTATACATGGAAAGTTTTATATGGTGACTCTGAATCTCCCCAGGAAATGGAAACAGAGCTAAGGCAGTTTGCTGACCACCAAGACCACCGAACATCAGACAGCACATTCCTGGTGTTTATGTCACATGGCATCCTGGATGGAATTTGTGGGACAAAGCATTGTGATGATAAGCCTGATGTTCTTCATGATGACACCATATTTACAATTTTCAACAACCATAATTGCAAGAATCTGAGAGACAAACCCAAGATCATCATCATGCAGGCCTGCAGAGGCAGTGAGTTTGAGTTAGGACCCCAGGAAATGGCAGTACTACAGTTCTCTAAGACTGGTTTCTACATTTCATTTTCCCAGGGGTTGGTGAAGAAAGCAGCAAATCAATAAGCTGTTTATATACAGCTCAGAAAGATTATGAAATAATCTATTGCCTAAATAATGAGAAATATCTCAGTCATTTGGAACTGGGATTTTTCCAATTCAGAGAAGTACTTTTTCTAGTAGTAAGATATATTTCTTTTAAAAAATACCATGATAAAATGTACTAAATTAAGGTATAATGATAAAACAAATATAATATTTCATATTTCACCAGATGTGATGTCTTCCTCAGGGGGTGATGGCATTTTCTGGGTGACCACTGACCGAGGAGAAGCCATGGCAGACACACATGCTTATTCTTTGCAGTATCACGGATGTTACGGACGGAGAGATGCAATCACAAGGAGCCACATTGAAAAGGATTTCATTGCTTTTAAATCTTCCACTCCACGTAAGCGGTTTCAGAGGGGAGATGCTCTGAACCTCCTGCTGCTTTCTGTATGACACGCTTGACTATAATCACATCTTATTACTCAACATTTGTTCTCTGCTTAATTGGATATTCTATTTAGAGGAGAAAATTAAAATAATGACAGCCATAAAACCTGATTTGGAAGGAAAGTTTCAGTGCATGCAGGACTGACCACAGTAAGCCTCCAGATTCAAAAGTTTCAAATAAAACTAAAGTATGTTTTGTTTTGATTTGTTATTCAAATACAGGAATGGTACTGAAATGTATCATTTTCAATTGATTTGGCTCACCTGTTTACCAGTTACACAACCAAGGCAGTGAAACTATCAGGGCTGCTCCTCATACTCAAGTGCCTATTGGCCTGTTGTTTGAATCTTTTCTGAGGAGATTAATTAATATTAGAGTACCTGTGTTAAGGTTAATAAACCCAATGAATGGAAGCCAATCCTTTGGCAGGAATGTCACAGTAGAAGATAGAAGTAGCACTTAGAAACAGAGAATTATCTTTGTTGTCCTTGGTTTACCTAGAAGAAAAATACTTTTAACAATGTTCACAATATTATTCTACGAACAATTCAGAGAAGGCAATAAAAACCAAATGGACACAATTCAAAGGTTCTAAGTTGCTCTGATGTTTGACTGTACGCTTTAGTCCTCCCACATAGTATGTCCTTGAACGTTGGTTTCTGATTCAGTGTGTCTGGAGTGGGTAATGAGACTCATGCTTCAGAAAAGCTCATTGTGATGCCCATGTTGCTATGCCAGGCCACTTGGGAGTATTATGAATTGTTAGCCTCAGGCAGGCTAACATGAGAAATAGGGAAAGGTCATGCAAAAAGTGCCCACTTGACCATGTCAATAATAATACTCAGAACTGTATAAGTTCTATTTGATTTATATATTGTACTTTTAATTAGATTTTATTTAAAGAAAGATTCTATGACTTTAGGTAGTAAACTAAGTTGAAAAATCATATAAAGCCTTATACATACTCAAAAAATTATTTAATTTCATCAGAAAAATAAATGGCATGCAAAAATCCTTGCATTTCTTTTCTGTATGTATAATCATGTGGTGGGAATAAGGCAAATGCAGAAAACATTCTACACAATTAAAATAGATAGGATTACTCATACTCATGGAGTTTATAATGGGGCTAGAGAGACAGAAATTAATTGAGAAAGAAACAGATACATCAAAACAGAAATAAACAGTAACTGGCAACTGTGATTAGTGCTTTTAAGAAACATTTCTGCTTCTAAAAGATAAAAATCCAGCCACATTAATGATAAAAGGACTGGGCAGAAAAAATAGTTTGAATGGAGGACCTGAGAAGTAAAAGGCCATAGATGAGAAGTCTAGTGTGGTCAGTGTCCAGATTCAAGAAACAGAAACAGCAGGGACATCAGAGAAGGAGGTCAGAACCAGGTAATAGTGTGTTAAATGGCCGTTTTACTAATAGTAACAGAAAATTTTGCTGGGATTTAAGCAATGACAAACAGATCATTTTTATTTTAAAAATGAAATCTCTAAGGAAATCTGTCAAAATGAATTTCAGGGCAGCAAGCATATACATGGAAAACAGGTTAAATTCTATTGCAACATTGGCAGTCAGAGGTGATAATGATAGTTCTAGAATGAGGTAAATTGTTAAAAACAAATTGTTAGAATGAGGTAAATTAATATGTAACATTGATAATGTTGGGTTAGTGGATATGGCGGTAAATAGGAATAATACAGATGACTCAGTTTGCAAGTAGATGATTGTGTTTAAATAAACATTTAAACAGGAATCTTGCAAGAAAAGCTTTGACATGGCTGTCGCATACATGAAGGTTAAATAAAGAATAGAGTGTTGTGTAGTTCTATGTTTTAGAAAAGAGATATGCATTAAAGATAGAATTTTGAGAGATAATAACCTAAGGATTGCATTCAGTAAACTAAGGATGGATGAAATATAAGAATTGAGTGTAAGATGAAACCCTCAACTGAGACTTGAAGAATTGCAGAGTTAAAAATCAGAGATGGAATGATTAGTTGGCAAGTTGAACTCATCAAGTAGAGTCAGAGAGTAAGACACAGAACGAGGAGTATGTATTTTTAGAAATAGCAATAAAGACACCTTTGGACATTGCCAGCAGATTCTGATGTGAATATCAGTTGAAGCAGAGATCTTGTAAATAACCATGAGATTTAATGAGTTGAAAGTCACAAGAAGACTTGGAAGAAGCTTGTTTTGTAAATCTGGTATGTGGAGCAGGAGGAAGAAGTCAGACAGAAATGAATAGAGCAGAAGGAAACACAGGAACAATAGATATGTTTGAAAAACAAGTATAAAAGGAAGGAGAAATGGGAAACTATATGTAGGTAAATTGTGATTAAGGAAATACTATCTTTTATTTTCAGCAATAATAGAACTTAAATACCTTAGAATGGTATGGAGAAAAAAAAATCTTTCAAAAGATTTTGATGCAATAGAAAAAAGTCCTGATGAAGAGGAACCCAAGAATCTAGGAACAAAGACTTTGATTTGTTTTTTCTCTATTACACAGTTGGTGCTGATAGGACTCAGTGGGGTCTCCTAATATACGCTACCCTACTAGGTGTAACTTCAGCCTTGGCTATAAATAAAGCTGAGAGAATTTATATTTCAGGGTCCATGATTGTTTTATGTATTATGGAAACCTGAGGTCAGTTTTACCCTGTTTAGCCTTTCTCTTTTCCAAGGTATGAAATTACCCTTTGCCCCAAGCCTTTCTCTTAAATAACTACCCAAAATTCTACAAAATCTACATTACCCAACATTTTCTTGCATTTATTTCAGATAATGTTTCATGGATATTAGAGACAACTGGCTCTCTCTTCATTTCTCAACTCATCTACTTCATCAAAGAATATTGCTGGAGTCACCATTTGGAGGAAATTTTTAGGATGGTAGGGATTTTATTTCTTTCCAACCTTAAAAACCTTAAAGACCAATTTGCAAATCATTTTTAAAACTACTAATTTGTCATTCTTTTGCTACATCCTTTATTCCAGATTTATTTGAACAGGAAATGTTCAATAATTACACATAGAACCAGTTTGGCTTTTCTAAAACATCTGATTCTGATAGCTTTGCTCACCCAGAAAATTCATTTTAAGGTTTCTAGTTAATTTGTGTCTGTACTATATCCAAGTAAAGTTTAAATTATCTTTATACTACCTGTCAACAGTTTTAAAACATGCTGCGGTATTTTCTACCATGGAGAGTGAAGTCTGGATTCCCTTTTGTAAAAAGAAAAATCCTAAAGGCTTTGTTTTACTATTTCAGGTTCAACGTTCCTTTGAGACCCCAACTGTACTCACACAGATGCCTACAATTGAAAGAGTATCCATGACACGGTATTTCTATCTTTTTCCTGGGAATTAAAACAGCCTCTCAGGTAAACATATCTAAGACTGTAATTTGGATTCTCCTTGTTCAGACTCTATACTGAAAGACTGGATAAGAATAAAGAGCAGTGATGGTGTGCTGTTTATTTGTTACTGAGAGTTATGTTTGCTATTTCTTAAGAATCTCCAGGCCATCACTTATTTGCCTTCAACTATGCTGTAGCAGTTGTATGAGAAATAATTAGTCCAGTAGTGATGAGCTGAAAAACCTTCAAATGAAAAATTGTTCGTCAAAAACACTCAGCGTAAGAGAATAGTTGGTTCTGAGGCACACACAAAATGCAAAAATTTGAAGTGCCATATTGCAGCTTTTTTTGGACACCTCATCAAAAGTCAGTTTTGCTGCGTCACATCTTCCGTGTTGTAATGAGGCTACCTAAATACCAGGGCCTCCACTGACAAGCTGCTGCTACTATACTGAAGCGAGATGCATGAGTCCCTACCATTTGCAGGACTGCATCTCTTTCAAAAAGAAATCTCTAACTGCAAAATTTAGTTCCATTCATAGTTTAACCGTGACAGTCGTATATTCATATTCTCTCTAGTTTTCCAAGGAAAAGAAGGCATTGTTGTCTCTCTGAATATCGTTTAAAAGACCAATTTGTAACCAGGAGTATTTATACAAAACTATTAAATTGATAACTTTTCACAAAAACTAGAGTAAAGTCACTGTTATACTTTCACTGAATTAATGCATAATACATTTTTAAGAATCTTATTCTCTTATTTTACCATGAAAGTCATGCTCAATAATTTTAGATATAAAGTGGAAATATTAAGCTCATTAAAGGAAGTTTTAATGAAGAAATAATCATTTTTAAACTTTTGAAAACTTATTTGTTAAAAACTGTTTGGTTACTCTTTTCTGAAAATCTTTCTTGGGAAAAAGTCCACTTACTTCAATGTAGTTGAGTTACTTTATATTCACAATTCGATGCATTTTTCCTTATTTTTTTCCAAATTCTTATTATTGGCAATAAGACTGTGCCTAAATATAATTTTCTAATTTGTAATATATATCAGACATACAGAGTAATATCATTTCACTTTTATCCTGCTTTCAGATGTTGTTTTCAATTTTTATTTCCTATACCCAAGTGATGATGAATATATTTATGTTTTTATTTCTATCCAGGAATAAGTTTACTTTTTTTCCAAAGTATTCCATAAAATTAACTTACTAGATTCATATCTAAATGCTTTTGTAACTTTCCTTAAATTTTGTAAGAACATTATGCCAAATTATATGCAAATCTAATAATTACTAACAGGTAGAAAACCTTTTTAAAAACTTGTTAATTGAATAGATTTAAAACATGAAAATTCATTGGCATAACTTTTAATAACATCGTTAGATTTTCTAATGAAATTAAAACTGGTGTTGAAAGTCTTCTGACAACTGAAATAAGCTTTTAATGGGGTATAAATGTGTACATTGAATTATAGAAAACTGTGCTTTAAGAATTTTTTGTTACATTTTCTTTTTATTTTTAAAGAAAGTTGTATTTTTCTTTGAATAACTTCAAGTTTCAGAGTAAGATATTACTAAATATATTGTGTTTTTTCCCTATTTGATTGAATTTTTTTTTCTCCATAGTTTACAACTGATTATTGCTGCAGCTGCTATGAAGAAAAGGAAATGACAACCTCCCTTGATGCTTAACTGTGCAAAACTGGCATTTAGCACCTTTATTGAACACCCATTGATCTAGAGAATTTTTCTTTAGATCTTTTCCTTTATTGTGTTATTAGTGTATGTTTATGATATCTAGTGAATACATTTGTTGTTCAGAATATTATATATCATATTTTCCTCCTTTTCCCCTTCCCCTTCCTTCTTTTCTTTACCTCCTTCTGTCCCTAGATCCTCTTTCTGTTTGCATAAGGTTTTTACAAATTATATATTTGTTTCTTTCTGGCCAGTATTCATAGTTTTTATTCATAGCTTTTATTTTGTGAATTTTTATGTTTACTTCATCCATAGCTTTATTAGCCATGTATGATAATGACACAGGTCATTCTTTATTACTTAAATGGAAATGCTTTCAGCATTTCAACATCACAATGCATTCTATTATTTAAATTCATTCTCACAGTAATAAAATATATATTTACATTGCTATTTTTCAGCTGGTCTGTCTCTTTCAAGGATAAATGTTACTTTGGGCCCTGCTGTGAAACAAAAGAAATGAAAATGCTAATTATTGTATTTGAGCACTCACATAGTTATATTAACAAATGGCCTAATACCAACTATTGATCACAATTTGGGGATGATAAGTTCTGTTATGGAATGTTTTTCATTTGCTCTCAATCTAAAATAGTGTTGACAATATTTAACTTAGAATTCCTATGTTTGTATTGATACTTATTAACAGGGATTTTGACTTATTTTTAATTTGGCCAAATTGAAATTTTTAATACTTTTTTTAAGAATTATGAGAAATAATTTTTTACCAACCCTAGATGATCTGAAATCGTTTAAAATGTAATTTTTAAATAAATTATCAATATCAAATGAATCTGCATGGTCATTATCTCAACTTTCAATCTTCAACAGATGAAACTTACTTATAAAAATCTAGAAACTATCTCAGTCTTAAGAACTGAGCCAATTTATGCAAATATATCCAGTTAGAATTGAAGTTATACTGAAGGAAGTAAAAATGATCTGTGTTCTTCAAGATGATTTCTGATTTCACATATGCTGTCTCTATTTTTCCCTCTCCCCACAAATGAACTCACGGGTATACTGACAAACATGCCCTACAAGATGCTCTGTACACTTCTTAATTTTTTTACTTAAAATGATCATCTAAGCTTAAAGTGAGGGGCAGATAAGTAACAAATCAGTATACAAACAACATAAAATTGAAAGTCTGAGCAAAAATGTTCTAGGGATGAGATGGGGCTCCAGGGTGTGTTCAACCAAGTTATGCTTTCTCTCTCTTCTTCTGTGGTGGAGCTAAAGTCATCACTATTCTTGAATGCATGTTTCAGCCAGCAGGAAAGAAGGAGACACACATAAAAGAAATGTGTGACTAAGGCCTTTAAGCTAGTCCATTATGTTTATAAACAGTTAATCAGAATTCAGCCACAGAGCATCTCTTGGTTGACATAGAACTGAAAAATGAAGATATTACTGCATATTGCCACATAGAATTAAGGATTCTACTAGAAAATAGAGAAAAGATACAGGGCCTCAATTGGATGAGTGTTTTACATTGTTTACATATTTAATATCTGCCTAGAATTACTTGTGATGGATGTATTAAAATTCATTTTACTAATTTAATCTCTGATTGTAATATTACTTTAAGCCCTTCAAAATAGATAAATTTCCATATATATCTCATATTTTCATCACTGTGGTGAATAAGCGATTTTGTTAATTTATCAAGCCAGAAATAGAATCACTTTAAGTTGTATTTCTTTGCTCTATGAAATGGTTAAGCATTCTTTCAGTGGGAACAAGCTATTAGCTGGTACCTCATCTTTTCCACAGATTCTCTGCATGGTTGGCATGAGCTTATGGAAACTAATTCCCCAGCTAACTCTCAGGCTTTGAGCCTTTCCAAGCCCCTTACAAACACAGTCTCACTGTTAAATTCTCTACCTGCAGCAATCCCCCTTCCCTTCCTAGATGCACAAGTCTTACCATTAAACTTCTTTCCTCCTATGAGAAATTGACACCTTAGTAAGTAAGACATTCCTAACAGTCTCTAGTATTAACAAAATGTCCTCTCTTGCCCTGATACCCTTACATACTTTTCTCTTTTATTTGTTTTGTACTTATAGGACATGCAACATAGTTATTTTATTTCTATGTATATACATATCTTCCTACAAGATTATAAGTTCCGTGAGGCAGGAATTTTGTTATCATATCCCAGTGCTTAAATTCATGGATAGTACACAACAGATACTCAGTAATTCTTTGCAAGATAAAGAAATCTATCTAGAAAGTGTCATATTATGGAGCTATGGAATAGAAAATTTAATACACTTAAAGTGTTTTGTGATTCACAATTGGGTCTTGTTTTAGTTGTTATATTTTCTCATATTTTATAAAACGTATTCCATTTTCTCCTAGTTTTTCTTATGAAAAATGTAATGTTTCATGTTAGAAATTTGTAATATGTCTTTTATTTCATAGCCAAACCTCTTCCATTTGAAAACCAGCATTTTAATAACATTCTTTTCCTGGTTCAAAATTAGTCATCATAGTTACAAAAATAAACAAAACAAACAAATTCTACTTAAATAGAGCTATTTAAAACAGATCTAAAACACATAACAGAAAGAGAATTGAAGAGTCTTAGTCCAGCTGTGTTTTCCTTTCCAGATCCATCATGTTTACGGCTAAAATTTCCATCTTCACTCTGGCACTCACCAGACAGCCAGCTTTGAAACAATTCTTTTTCCTTCCTCTACATTCAGCCAGTCACTCTAAGTGCCAAGTCTGTTTCCTGGTCTATTTTCTCCTAAGTTCATCCTCACATACAGTCAGTCTTCGTTTACCTGCCATCAGAAAAACTGCATAGGCTGATCACTGTCAATCTAGATCCAGAGCTCTTTCCTTTCACACTCAAACCAGCACCAAAAGACCATATAAACATGTGTGCCACCCCATCAACTTTCTAACTTCCTAACCTACTCAGAAAATAATACACATTGTCATAGCCCTCAGCCATCATGTGACCTAATTTCTTTGATGTTCCTCTTTCTCTTCTGATGCTCAGAAGCACGTTTTCTGTACATCTGTGTGCTCTATGGGCTTTCTTTGTGATGCTCTTCTTGCCAGAAATGACAACTTCCCTACTCTCTTCTTACCCTCAATCTCTGATTCTATCTTACCTCAGTAGCCATAAAAATAGCATTAATGATAGTGGATACAAAAGCATGAAAGAATATTCATTTCTCTCATTTTACTTATTCTAGGAGCCTCACAATATACTTTATAATCATTTTGTCATCTGAGATCTAGCTCAGATACTAGTTCCTCTAGAAATTTTCTTAAGAATTTTCTCCCATCTACTGAGATACCCCTCCAAAAAATTTCCAAGTTTCTGAGAAGCAGACAGTCCAAGCAGGGAAAAACTTACCACTTTACACAGGTAAATAATTGGAATTTAAAGAAGAGAGCACTCAATCCAGTACTGTCACACTGAAAAAAATTTATTGAAGAAACTCCACAGTACTTGCAGGAAGCATCTACCACTGCTAGTTTGAATAAATTCAAAATAAGTAATTGAACTGATCAGAATCTACATATTTACAAAGAAATTCCCTTATAAATTAGGCCTCATTCTTTGACAAATAGGAACATTTGAGTTGGTATTCCCAGCCATGGGTCTCTGTGAAATACACTCCAAAATTCTTGGAAGAAGAATCCCTCAGCTAAGGGACCCTTTAAAGAAGTTTATTAGATTGGTTCTATGAGTGCTGGAATAAGGCAGGATCTAAAATTAAGCACCAGTTTGAAGTAAAACAGAATTTTGGGTCCAATATTGAAACAAACAGGTTCCTCTCTGTCACTTATGTTTTCTAATATCTTGTTTGATCATCTTTGGAAAAACCTAATAAGAAGGTGACTGACTAAGGAAAAGTGTTTTTAAAATTTTAAGTAGCACAAATTTAAAAAGATAAGTCATTGAAAAGAAATGAAGTGTAAAAAATGGTAATAGAAAAGATGGATGTTATCAAAGTATGCTATATTTATAGATGAAAGTACTACATTGAAATACATATGTGGGCTGGGGATATAGCTCAGCAGCACAGTGCCTGCCGGGCAAGCAGAAAGTGCGGGGTTTGATTCCCAGTTAAAAAATAGATAAATAACACTACATATTTTATGTAAGTAATATGCACTGATTAAATTATACTTTGAAAAATAATGATGTTAATAACTGTTAGAGTGCAGTGCAATATTTTGTAGAGCTTGTCAAAATTATTGTGCTCTTTTCTTAATACATTAACACACATGCAAAAATATATTTGTTCATATCTGTGTCATTCAAGATTTGATTAGAAAAGCAGAACCATCTGAAAATTAAATGGTCTATGTGAGATTGACATTCCTCTTTCTCTGGCTGGACCCTGAGGTTCACAGGGTAAGCACGTACTGAATGAAAACAGATGTGATTAATAAACCAACACAAAGTTAAAACCTGCAAAGTTCAGCTGGAAACCAAGAGAAGGGACTAAACCCATACCAGTCTCTTACTCTGTCTAAGCCTCCGACTTTGTACATAAATGTGTCTTGCATGAGAAGCTAATACGAAACTTAGAATTAAATATTCAGTTGACCTAGAAGCAGAAAAAAAGGAAAAGTGGGTCTGGCTGCTTCCCCAAGCCAACAAGGCTGATGGCAACACACCTAAACTGCCAAGTGGCTCATGCCCTTCACTAACTTTCCATATTTAAAAATAACATGAATACCACATGCCTTTCATCTTCCAAATCTCATGAAAAAAAATTCTTTGTTACTGAAATCAGCCTACAGGTATTCAGAAATGTAAATGCCAAGAGTCTAGTTCCAATAAAATATATATGTGTTGATTCACTGACTTCTCACATCCCTTCTACATTCTCATTCTACGTGAAATTATTCAATTTCATGGTATTGAATGCTATTTGTTTGTTGATACATTCCATATTTTGTATCATTCAATAGATTTGCCTTCTAAAATTTGATCAATCTTTAATTTTCCGCTGGAAATCTCTGTAGAGAAATAGGCTAAAATTTAACTTCTGTTTATCACATCTTGTCTTGCACAATTTACTCCTCTTTTATTCTGTGCACTTTCATAACTGATACCTGTATACAACTGGAAACATGAAAGTTATTCTTGATACCTTTACTCTTGCAAACTTCATGTAAAATCAGTAACAAGTTCTTTTGATTCCCTCTTAGTTTCCTCCAAATCTCAACATCTATGCCAGCATGGACCAAGAAGCTATCATCTCTCACAAGAATCATTACAAATGTTTTTTAATCTCCCCTTTTTGGTTAGGAAAAATTGTTGTGCAATAAAAAGTATAAATTTTATTCTTCTGGTACAGATGGAATAGCGAAATTTATTCTACAATGGTCATTTGTTGTACTGTTAAGAATATTTTGTTCTTCCAAAGAAGATGAAAAACCAAACAGAAAAAAATGAACTTTTGAAAATGCTGAATTTAGACAGTAAATTGCTTGAAAGTAAGCATATAAGATATAAGTAGAATGCATAAGATATGCTGAGTATATATAGAGTAAATAGTAACTTGTGAGACATAAGTAGAATTTGTGTGATTTGTTAAATATAGATTGTAAGTTAATAAGCTGTAAGAGAGCAACGGCTGAGTACATAGAAAATTTGATAGAACAAAAATATGCTGCTTAGAAATGCAAGGAGAGGAGAGCTCACATCATGATAATGCTACCTCCACACAGAATCATACCACACCTAAATTGGCTTGTTGACACCCAGTATGGGCTCATTCTGATCCCACATACCCTCTTCCTAAGAAATGTCAA